TTTTTACCTGACTGTAAGGTCCAATGCAGCTAGGTGCCCAGCAAGAAATACTTTGAACATGGAGAACTCTTTTGCTTTGGTCATTCGCGACTAAAACCTCAACGTAAGCTTTTCCAAGACCCACTTGTACCAAAGGAAGTTCAATTGTACTACGTGAAGGAACACCGAAAGGGCACTTCTCTTGTGTGATAAATTTCACATATGTCTCATTAGCCACAGCGAACTCACTCATATCAGATATATAGAGATGAATATATAATACATTCTGCCAGTTAAACCCGAGTTTCAAAAGCTGAGATTCCATTTCTGTAAGAACAGTCTCAAGATCTTCTTTCAGACCTGTTCAAAGACGATAAAGCAAATGTCAAATACAGGGGCGGGAATCTTGAAAATTCAGTCTGTTTTCGGAGTTACCTGTAGAAGATTCTTGTGAATCTTCCAACCAGCAGCACATGGAGAATGTGTTGTCTTTCTCGGTTTTTGATAAGCGAAGTCTGTTTCTTGTATGTTCAACTAGGTCAACGATCCCATTATTTTGTTGTTTAGATTCTGATGTGTTAGGACCGTCTCCTTGTACCTCAAACACTAGACCCGGTTCCTCCTCGAGGGAATTAGAGTCTGGATTCTCCTTCTTCTCGAGATGGAACGTTGATGGATGAAGAACTCCAACAGGTGCAATAGAATCTGGAGAGTGTAGCACAACTTGAAATTCATCAAGCACAATTCTCGCATTCTAAAGAAAATGCAAATTGTCAAATTACAAATAAATTTCATGAATGAGTGAGCTCAAAATTAATGTTTAGATTGCTAAGAAGACATACAGTGAAAAGAGGGCAATCGAGAGTCAGAGTTTCATATTCTCCTCCTTCGCCGCAAACATTACTTCCATATAACCTAAGTAAAACACATTCATAAGCCATAGATCAATATAACACAACTAGATAATACTCTTAATGAAGCCTAGCAAAAAGAACTGTGGCATACTCTTTTAACTTCAAAAGATATGGTTCCATGAAGGCTAAATCTTTCCCTAAATGCTTCGAGGGATCCAATCCTATTGCTGCAACCTGTTAACGTGAAGAAACCCAGAATTGTAAGAACATGTCGATGTTAAAAGAAGCGAGAAAATATAACAACAATCCTTATTACCTTGACTAAAATAGCTTTTATCCCATTTGCTATCTGCAAGTTGAACCAGAAAAGAGTTCAGGAAACAAATTCATAAGAGAAAGATTTGACATTTAAATAGGCTTGAATCTTCGGTTTCTCATTTCCTGAAAATAATTTACCATATTCTGAAGAAGCAATGTCTGATCTTGTTTCCACAAAAATGCCAAAGAAACAAGGCCTAACCTTGAACAAATACTTTCCACACGCAGACGTTGGTAGTCTGATGCAATCGCACCAGACGATACTGCCGTGATGGAAGGTATCTGTCTCTTCACTTCACTCAACAGCACAAACATATCTTCCACTTCATCATCTGGAGTCATTTGGTAACTAAGTTTCTGATGCCTGCAAACATAAATCCTTGAGAATAATCCATTATGACAAATCTCATCTCATGCCTAAAAGACTAACGATTCTCACCTCGACGATCCTCGAATTCTCCTTCTAAACAATGGCACATTCATGCATTCTGCATACCCCACTATAATCTGGTGACCCACCTGTAGGAAGAGACATTCGATCAAAGAATCATACACCGAGCAAAGACCAGAATTCCAATATCACAAACCCTATTAATCATTTTTACCTTTAAATCTCTACTATAAACAAACTCTACTCTTAGTCACCTCAAGAACAACAACCAGATTTACAAATCATAAAACATTGACCAGATTCACATAAAACACCAATCTGAGATAGAAAAAGCTCAATCTTTCTTCAATCCCTTTTCCAAATGAAGAATCCGATTTTACCTCACAATAATGAACATACATAGAACCATAAAAGTCAAGGAAGAAGCAGAAAAATTACAGTTTGATACATATAGCTGTCCAATTCATCTACCGAATCATCAACAGGTAACAAATTCGCCAATGCCACGATCTGTGGAAACACAAATCAAGAAAACCCAAGTGAGATTCAAGCTCGTACACCAAAAAGAACCAAACTTTATTGAGGCAAATTCAGGGAAACTCAAGCAATAGACCAAATTTCGAAAATTAGACAGAATCTGAGGATGTCAGTGAATAATACGTACCTCGTGACCGTACTGGATACACTTCATCATAGCAAAGCAACTATCTTTGCCTCCACTGACTAAAGCCACCACCTTCA